ATAAATTGCTTACAGCTGGCCTGAAAATGGCTTTCCCCAGAGAAAACTACTTCTGTCTTTGAACTTGTGGAGCATATCAGCTCAAAAACTAAGTTAAATTTTCCCTCAGATGCAAATATGAGAAAAGAGTATTTGCACAAATTTCTCCTGATTCATATCCCCACTAGATTTGCTTTTAGCAACTGTGAAATTTCAGCACATGAAAAGAAGATCGCAAGGAGGAACACTGGGGATCAGTTGGTCTTTAGCTGTATAAGTGATACTCTAATATTTATAAGGCTACAGTATTCGTATGTTTAATTAGCAACAACCAACACTAAACTACTACCTTGAAAGACTGTTAGAGTCTATAACTGGAAACAGTTTGCCCAGAGGAGTTATGAATGCCTCATCCCTGAAAGTGTTCAAGGCCAGGCTGGATGGGGCTTTGAGCAAGCTGGTCCAGTGGAAGGTGCCTCCTGCCCATGGCAGGGGGGTTGGAATTAGATGATCTATAATGTCCCTTCCTACCCAAATCATTCTATGATATGATTCTATGATTTTCATACTCAAACAATTATACTTTCTGAACAGTGTTCAGGCTATTCAGCCAATGTGTTTCAAAATGTTACTTCTATTGGTGATAGCACTTAAATTCCACATTGAGGTCAAGACCTAATGTGCTACATGCTGTATGAGTACTACGTTGAAATTCTGGGCATTAAAATATTATGGTTTATTTTGTTATTGCTGAAAAAACCATGAAGAAACATCAAAAATATGAAAACTAATATTTAAAGTAGCAGGTACAAGCAGAGCCACAGAACTTCAGTTACTGACCACAATCTTTTCGTTTCACCTAAACATCATGTCACTTAAAACTTATCACTGGAACAACCTGGGATTATTCACAAGGTCAAAGTCTCAGAGAAATGTATGTTCACAAGCCATGAACCACAGATATCGGTCAATTTCTAGTAAATAGAACTTAAAGGAGTTAAAAGTATATACTTTTCTCTTAATATTCTTTCTGCAGGGAGAGAAACATCTGTAAGCACATAAAGAATCTAAGTGAATAAAAGTGGGAGGCCAGGACGCAGATAATCTCGATTTGTCCATAAATCTGTATTTAGGAACATGTGTTAAGGATATATGAAAGTCTCTGCTTTAAAAGAAAGACCCAAATCTTAAACAAGGAGTAGAAGCAGGTATTCTGTAGGAAGAGGCAAAGATTGCAAAATGGGGATAGCTGGCTCAAGCCCACGTGAACGTATTTAAAATACTAATCACATAATGAGAGACTGTAATATTGAATCACCACAAAATAGACCTAGTTAATGTAGAGCAAAATGAATGTTTGGCAAAGGTGATAGCTGTGCACATTTCCTGTGGAAACAAGCACCCTGCCAATTGCTACAATCATTAAAATAGACAAGTCTTCCATACTGATCAGGAAGACAGTTCAAGAGTTTAGTGACACTTGTATTTCTCAAGTGCAGAAAAGCTCCTAGGGAACTATACTTCTAAAAATATTTAGAAAACTAACTCCTACTGACAATGGTGTGAAATGGAAACTTAAAATACGGTTGTTCACCTTCAAACTTGCCTCTGTTCTTCAACTGAAGTCTCAGGCTTTCAAGAGGCACAAATCATGAAAATTCATTTAACCTTCATGGAAGAGAACTGTAGTGTTAATACAGCTCTAACAATAGCTTGATCTCCATACAACACTGGGACCTGCAAATTTTGTGGTGTTGTTTTCAGAGTTTTTTTTAATTAAATTCTTTGATTATTTGCTAACTGAAAAAAATATTAAAAATCATTTAATATGCCTCTTACTGATAATGAGGTTTTCACAAATACTGAGCCCTGTTACTGACGTAGCTGCATCAGAGTATGATTCTACAACCTAACTGCATCTTACATGTGTTTCTTTCCCTGTGAATTGTATTTGCAAAACCAAATCAGATGCTGCAAAATATTTCCCATGGGACAAATATGAATATTTGATTTAGATTGGAGACCAGTTATGCCCATAATTATTTACCCTGAAGACCAACTGTGAGAACTTCAGAAAAATAAGATTGGATCAGGACACACTTCTATCCTCTTTCTGAACACGGGCAGATGTTATGGAGGGAAGCATAATCAACCCCAAGAAGATGCCTCCTAATAGGGGCTAATTTGAATTCTGCATAATGAACTTTAATATTCTAATATTTTCCCAACTTCTTACAATTTTAGATCTTGTCACTGCTATCTATTACAATCCCTTGAAATTTTCATCTCAAGAATAAATTACGTGTTTTCTTAAAAATTATTTATTTTTCTATCAGTCTTTAATGGATGGCTTTTATACTTCTTTGACTAACTGTTTTTCTCTTATGACAGAGTAAAAACTAGAAAAACTCTCCACCTGCCTGAACAATATGTGTCAGTACTCTCCATATTTTTGTTTCAACCTCTTTAAGGTAAACAGCCAAAACTCTTGAGACTCTTTACAGATTGACTGTACTTTTTCTCCTTTTTCATCTCAGAGCTTTCTGTAATATTTTTTGAGAGGAGATAAGCAATATTACCGTATTTCACTAAATTCTCTGAAGGAATCCTAACACATAGGAACTAGAGTACATTATTCCAATTCTTAAAATCTGGTTTGCAAGTTCAGTCAAACAGCAGAGGTCTTCCCTGAGCTGTGAACATTACTAATCTCACCAGCCAATGTAATGTGAAATCTGGCAGGTAATCTTAGCATTTTCAGGAGACATCAGGCTTCTGTTTATGATAACTGAATGACATTTGTTGACATTTTGGCAAATCAGCTGGCTGAGTCAGGTCTCCCTAAAGTAATATAACAAGTCCTTTCTCGTTCTGTCCAACACATATCAGTTCATGTCTTCAGCAAAATTTCACTTCTTCCTCCTCTCTTTCCTACTAATTTATAAGTATATTAAATACTGGAGTTGGTATATAACCTTGAGGCATCCCAGTATGTTTTAAATGGTTGGGTTTTACCGCAACAAAACTATTCTCCAAGTAAGTTTTGGGGTCATGGCAACACTATCTCGTATTATCTCTGGTAGTTTCCCTAATGTAGTTTTGCTAAAAAAAAAACCATAAAACAACAACAACAACAACAACAAAAACACGAGCAAAAGCCTTCTGAGTCTTTCAAACAATTTTATACATACATACATATACATAATATACAAGCAGCCTAAGTGAAGTAGGAAAGGAATACAATTCAGTGCAAAAGAAGTAGATTCGGCCCTACAGGGGATTTAGTTACAATAAAAAGAATGTCACTGAGAGAGAGAGAGAGACTAAATAAATCTAGATTAGACTAGATTATGGATTTATTTTCCAGAAAGCAGGTCCATTTGCACTCTGTAATTATAATCATAGTTCTAACAGCACCCAAACATCTACAAGAATGCATAATAAGATGACAAAAAGTACCCAGGTTGTGATTTGAACTTAATAAAAATCATTTGTTTACAGTACTCGAGCCAATTAAATCTTCTAACTGGAAGGTCACATGGAAAATCCTTAACCCAAAACTGGGCATAAGCCCAACTTGAACGAGTATTTAAAGAAATTTCAAAGCATCTGTGACAAAGTTGTCTTCCCACTTTTGATGATACATCCCATTTACACGTATTTAGTCAGCTATTCAGCAGATGCAAATCAACACTGCTCTGCTTCAGCCATGCCACAGAGATGGGTCTTTTCTTCTGCATGTTCTTCTATGTTCCTAGCAAATTGGATTTTAAACTGTCAACAACTTCACATAACCTATTATTTTTAGACATACATTTATGAAACTCAGACACTTTGTATATTTATTCCCCACCATTATAACTCAAGTATGTAATTTTGTTATTCAGAATGACTTATGAGAGAAAATCTAACTAGAATAGCAGGCTTAGGCTTGCTATTAACTTTTTCAGGCAGAGTTATAAATTTCAACAAATAGGTTATAATTGAGGAGCCAGCATGACCTTTATTATTTCAGAAGGTTCAGCCATAGCAGCTCAGTGTGACTTCAGCTAGACTATTAGTCACTCTGCCAGATAAAATCATTAACATCCAACTCAGTTTAGCATCCACATATGATCTGATCCTTGAAAACTGACTTGAACAAGCTTTACTCTCATGAATAGTCCCAGTCCAGGCGATGGAATTGCTCTTATAGAAATACCAAACTCCCAGTGAGTAAAGTAGCAGCTATCTGATATTTCTGTCATAATTGCAATCAAGAAAAAAAAAAGGCTCACAGAGAAGAAGTATTGGAATACTTATTAGTAAAGTCCTATTTTCAGGCAATCAGGAGTGGTTCTTCTTCAGAGAAAAACTGAACTAGTACTGTGTGCCACGCTGTCTTGTATCATTCTCTTCCATTATTAAGCACACGTCAAACAGATAATCCAGTAGTAAATATTTCAGAATATTTGCACTTAATAGTTAGAAAAGTACAAAATGAAAAGAACCACTTCATCAGCCAGTCGTTCCAGCAAAGCAATGATTTCTGTTACAGCAGAATCCTTTTTACAACAAAAACCCCTGTGATGTTACAAATGACATCAGGACAACCAAAATAATTTTATTACTTCAGTTAACTCGTAAACTATTCTGCAACTTCTTAATTCATACAATTGTCATCATAGTGATGAAAAATGGGCAAGAAATGGGGTATTACACATAAAAAATACTAGTTCATATATTTTGACTACTCAAGGTAACGTTTCCCTTGTAAATAATCTATGTGGAGGAATATAGCTATGTCTCTCCTTGTATTTATACCATAGGAAGCTTCTTTCTCAAGTGCACGCCTAGAGAAAAAACAGTTCCACTTGACATAGGAAAAGACATATCATTCAGATCAAGTGCTGTGAAAAACCGACAGACCCCTAAAACGATGGAAAGACAGGCTGGTAACGTGTTACTTGTGGAAATGGTGTGTGAATGAACGTGCAGGGGCTCTTACACAGCTGTCAAACACCGTAATCAGCGTCGCTAAGTGTGCCTGCAACATTAAGACAAATATTTGACCTATTTTCTTAGTAGAATTTAGCTGTCATCGTTCTTAGCACCACGCTCCTGTGAGCCAGCAACTGCCTAAGGACTCAGACAACATGAGCACAGAATTCTCCGCCGAGAGTGATAGCACTTAGTCCCACAGGGCGACTTTCTTCCAGCGACAGAGCGATCGGCCCCTCGAACCCACCCCCCTCAGCCGGCTCCGTCTCGCCTCCGTCCTGGCAACCCCCCAGCCCGTCCGCGCCAGGGACTCACGTTTGTAGCTGGCGGCCCAGGGCTGGTAGCCGTAGTAGCCGGTGATGCGGAGGATGCGCTCCTCGATGGAGGTGAGCCCCACGGACGCGCTGGTGAGGTCCTCCACGGAGCGGGACCACTTCAAGTCCTCTTTGATGGCCTCGTCCACCACCAGGTACTTGAGCTGCCGCAGCTGCGGGCTGATATCGGACAGCCGCCGGGGGCTGACATCGGGGGAGCGTCGCATGCCGCTGCGGGTCGGAAGCGGGGCGTCAGCCCGGGGCCGCGGCTCCGGTGCCGCCGGTCCCCGCCGACCCCGGGCGAAGTTGGCGGCGGGCGGCGGGACCCCCGCCGGCAGGTGAGCCCGCACGACGCCCGCGGCGCCGACAACTTTCCTCGCCGCCCTCCACCGGAGCGACCCCCGGGAGCGGGCGGCGCCGCCGGCAGGGGCGAGGTGGGGTGGGGTGGGGTGCCCCCGTCCCTCCCAGCCCTCCCGCCCGTACCGCGGCGGTACTCACAGCGTGGCGGCTTTTCCCCGCGCGGAGCCGTTGGGGAACTCCCGGATCCCCATGGGGAGCAGCAGCGATGGCTGGGGGGCGCCCAGGCTTCACGGCGGGGCGAGCCGGCGGCACTCACCGGCCGGGTAAGAGGCGGAAAGGTAGGAAAGGAGGGAGCGGGGGGAGGCGGCGCCCCCGTGGCAGAGGGTCCCTGGGCTGGCGCTGGCGCTGGCCCCGGCGGCGGCCCCGGCGGCAGAGGCAGACAGGGCGGGAGGGAGGCGGGCAGGGAGACGGGCGGGCCGGCGCTGCCGCCTGCGAGCCGCTGCCGCCTGCGGAGCGCGGAGCGCCGGCGGCGGGGGCCGGGCAGGGCAGGGCGCGCTCCGCGCCCCCCACCCCGCGCGCTCCCGCCGGCCGCCAGCAGGGGGAGCCCCCGGCACCGCCAACGCCAGCGGCCCGCGGGGCGGGGCGGCCGCGCCTCTCCCGGGAACACCCGCCAGGTCCCGGCTCGGTCCGGGAGCCAAGGCTTTCTCGGAGCTGCTCGGTGGGGGCAAGCTGGAAACAGCGCGGCGGTGCATGACAGCCCGAGCGAGGCAGGCCCTGAAGTGACCGTGGGCTCCATCTGACCAGCGCACCCACCTGATTGCCCCCGTAACGCCGCCGATGCAGCACCGGGGCCGCACAGCCTTCTATCAAACCACGTTTATTTTTATTGTTTTTTTTAAACACGCCGACCAACTTAAGTGGCAAACATACAGTTACACTTAAATAAACATGCGAACATACGTGTTACTTTATACGAAGACAAAAAAAAAATAAGATTAAAATCTAATAATAGGTACTTACACAAAATTTAACCACATAAAAGTAGAGATAAGCGTAGGCAGAAATTTCTTTCCTATGTGTGTGTGCATCTCATAGGAGGAAAAAGGCAAGTCCAAGGAGAAAAAAAATGTTCTCTTTCACTGCTGCACAAGCTCAGTTTACCTGGAACATTATACCACCAAGGTATCAAATGTGGAAGCGAGCTGGATCAGTTAAATGCAACCTTTCGCTGTCACTAAAGGTAACATTACAGGATCACCACATCACTATCAGAAAGGGAAAGTAAAAAAAAATCTCCAGCAGATGAAGGTCAAACTAATTTTAATCTTAAGTACCTGTGTACTGAATAATGCACTAAATTTATTTTATTTCCCATCCAACCCTTATTTTGAGCCTGTGAAGGGGAAAAATATTTGCTGCTGAGGAGGTCAGTTCCAAAACCTAACACAGGTGAACAGCAGTGGTCCAGCAGTGCAAGCAGAGAGTAACTGTGAAGGTGTTTGATGCTGCCTACTCGCAGTGACAGAGCAATTTGCAGGGTACACAAATCAACGCAGAAGGATGATTTTGGTTAAGATGAAAAGATAATGCTCACTAAATCTAAGGATACTGATCACTGTTGTGATTTAAGTTTCTTTAGGACATTTAGGGGAGGAGTGTTGATAACAGGCATGAATGGAATTAATCATTTCAGTCAGGCCTCCAAAGTCCAGTATTGTTCAATATGCAAACTCTATCCTCTGTCTGGATTTAAGTGATGAACAAGGATACGATTTATTCTGAGAATTCTCTGTAATACTACATATATCTAGTGTCAAATTCCTCCAAAATTATAGGTCCAGAAATGCAAGTCAGGGCTGGCTGTGCTTGGTACTGGACTAATTCACATAGGCAGGAGATATCTGAGTCTCAGAGCAAGCAAAGGTTTTAATAACCAAGCAAGCTGAACATTGTTGACCAGCCAATAGTGACTGACACCTGCTGAGCACTCACCTGCCTCTTGGCATGGGCTGGTGCAGATTTGGTCAGCCATGTGAGAAATTTTGTCTCCATCACTGACATATTTAGTTACCCATCTTCTGTAGCACCAGAGAATAGCCGTGGAAGTCGGAGATCCTGTTACACACATATCCACTTTAATAGGCCAGAACCATCTCATTCTTCCGTCCAATAAAAATTTTCCTGCTGTTTTATTCTTCCCCAGCTGCTGCCATTTTGAGGTGCAAATGAAATGACAGATGGGTGTTTCTCCTGTCATGCGGGAAAGTGACTTTGGACAGCTTAGGTGGCAGCACTGACAAACTTGAAGTGAGCATGAATCTTCCAAGAGAGAAAAAAAATGCATGGGAGTGAACATTTTAAAGTTCACTAAAACGTTTAATAAATATGCCATTTCAAAATTATGGTAAGAGGGCAACATCAACAAACGTCGATGTAAGCGATGTTTCTTCTTTAAAAAAAGCAGCTGCTGGAGACATGCAAATAAAAATTCTCATGTATATTATTTTAATTATGTTTAAGCATTGTAGCTAAAACTGAAACATTACAATATGGCATTGGACAATAAAAGATAAAGTGTGGGATTTCATATGATTTGAAATATGTAGATTTATGGAGCTGTTTAAGATTTTGAATATGAGAAGAAAAAAATGTGATATACTAGCAATGCTACTGTGTGTAAGAAACAAGAGATAAAGAAAAAATTTGCTAAACAGTATATATCTATTTAAGGAATAGTGGGCAAAATTGTATGCATCATGAAGCTGGAGCCACTATAAACAGCTTTTCTGAACCTCTCACTAGCGAGAGTTTATTACTTTAAAAAAACACCTGCAATCATTAAAACGCAGAATAGTTAGGAAATAGTATGTTTTTTAAAATGTCAGAGCCCTATGGCAAGGGAACAATAACTAATTATTCCAGAGTGTGGTGACTTATTCTGTCCTGTTAGATACTCCTTTTTACTTTTCTCCAGACAACATGAAATTATATGCTTGACTGACACCCAGCTCTTAAAAGGCACGGCCATTATTATATATTAGCATTATGTTGTCTACAATGTGATGCTGTGTCAAAGGAAAATATAATTTAAACTGTATTTTTTTTCACCTCCCATCAATAGTAGCTTGCCAGATGTTTCTCTGGGATGGAAGTTTACATTTATCAAAATACGACTCACTTCATGAGGAAGGTAAGTGCATTTTTTTATTTTTCCCAACCCCTACCCCAAGATAAGAGTTTTAGATTTAAAGGATACAATGACATATTAGAATAGGATAGCAATGATATTTCATTGGGCAACAAAATAATCACCACTGCATAAACTACAGCATGAAGCTGATGTGTACCTTCTTCTCCAGTTCATAAAAATTACCCCTAGGAAGTGAGTCTTTAGAAGAAAACTCAACTCCCTCCTTAAGCAAGGAGAGATTTAAGCAAACAGTCTTCTAACTGAAAATTCTGTAGTTGATGTATATTCCTGCTTCTCTAGTATTTTTATGTTTAGCACTGAAGGTATAAGCCCAAGTCATTAATCAGATATTCCTGCCCCAAGAGTTTTTGGGTGTTGGACAGAAATACACTATACATGATAAAAGTGCTATGTAGTACATGGAAATGCTTGTATGGCAAAACTATTCAGTTTCCCTGGCTGCGGTCAAATTTGACATCCACATGAATGTAATGCTACTGCATATGCTGAGTGCCTCCAGCTCAGTCAGTAGGACTAATTGTAGTATGCTGATTAGACTAAATAGGAGTGCAACTTTGAATGTAACCCATTTCACACACAAAATATTTTGAATCAACAACAAAAAAATACATAGCTAGAAACTTTCTAGTCCATCCTAGATAATATTTGCTTGCATTCATGTTTTAAAATATTTCATACCAACTTTAATTGGTTTCAATAAACCCAAAGAACCAAGAAAAAGTGATACAGCAGGCAGAGAATGGCCGAGTGGAAGACTGAATAATAAGCAAATATCAGCCTGACCACCTTCAGTAGAAGCACACTTGTTCTCTCAAGTAGAGAAACCAACACTGTGCTTGAGAGAGCAATCAGATGAATTTGAGACAAGTTGCAGCACATTTTTCACATGAGCTCTCACATTCTTCTGAGACCTCTGCAATGCATAGCAGAACCAAAAAAGCATCAGAAGTTTTGTCATGACACCTTGCTGAAAGCAACAGGAAAGCTCTGGAAATTACGATGTAGCTGTCTTTTGCAGTCAGGAAGGGACATACAGAGTCAGTGTCCCAGTTCCTGGGAGGTATACTGATTTAAAGCAAGCTGATTTTAATCTGCTACTTTGAAGTGGTTGATTATAAACTGTTCACTTTCTTTCTTTGACAGAGACTGTGGAAAATAGAAGTCCCTTTTATTTGGAATGGAAAATAGACCTATTTTTTGTTTTGCTACCCGTTGTTAGATGAGAAGTGCAGAAAAAAAATTCAGGACATCTCATCATATCTTGGTGGCGTACCAGCCCTGCCAGTGCCTCTCTTTTCAGTTCAAATCAAAAACTGAAATGCAAAGAGCAGAAAAATAGTAACATTTCCTTCTTCCAGCAAGAGACCCCAAAAGGACTGTAGGAGGTGTCAATTGCAGAGAATACAGAACAGCAGACCTCTTCAATAGCCCATATTTTAAGAAACAGAGGCTTGAATTTCAAAGTCAATTATTGTGCTATATAGCCTTGGTATCCCTTCATGTTCTGTCACTTCAAGTTATTTGTACTAGAAATAATGGGCTGCAAAGCTGAGGTTAAGGAAAGGCTAGATACTGTGTATAACCTCTAGTTTGTCCTTGTACCACAGGTTTATCTGAGAAGTGAGCCAAATAGCCAGGGAATAAGGAAGAGGATAAAGTCATAGGAACAGCTGTCTACACTGGCTAGCCTGTGGGGGAAGGAATTAAAAAAAAAAAAAAAAAGCAATAGCCAAAAAGACATAGGGGATAGAATAGAGAGTGAAGAACTCTAGAAAGAACTTGAAAGAAAACTCTTAATGAATTTGTGCTCAGGGTAGGCAGTTGCTTTAGTGAATTTGGGCATAATATTCATATTAAGTTTTAAATTGCTTATCTGGATATTGTGCTAGTGCCAAGAAAAGACTGATAATTCTCACTCTTCAGAAAAACATACTGGGTTTTTTTCTAGTTTCTAAGGTGTTTGATGCAGAAAGTGTGACACTAGCCTTAGACTGTGCAGATTTCTCAGCAGGAGAGATTTCTGAAGAGAAAGGAACACTTGGAAACTGATTTGACAGGCAATTTTTATTGTATAAAATTAATGGCAGCTGTTTGAAGCTGCTCGTGTGTCTGAAACATTAAAAAACCCACAGCTGAATTTTTGATCTGTGAGAATAGAAGATCAAAAAGGCATTACATTTTTTCCATATGGTTCCAAAGTGTGGAGCATAGCCACTTACTTCCATGCATGCATTTTAAACCCTATTTGTAAGTTAACCATACTTATTTTTCCAGATTTTCTGGAAATAATTTTGGAAGGTACTATAACTATTCTGTTACAGCAACTCAGACCTCACTTCCCCCCACAATATACAAAAAGGTGTCCTCTTTCCAACTTTTTATCACCTACAGTGGATAGATTTCATCATGTCATGGATAAAGACTGTATCTCACTACACTTTTACTCACATATGGGCAGATGTTGGCACTACTGTGAGCCCCAGGGCTGCACTGCTTCTTAGTATAAAGTGATATAGCATTCAAAAATGAGTTCTTTCGTCTTGCATTTCTTTAGTAGATTATTTTATTGTGGTGATAAATTTGGAACAATGAGATTATTTGATTAAACCTTCTCAGTCACTGCTGAATGGACTACGCTCCTTGTAGAATTAATAAAAAGGCCAAGACACCTCATTAACATGCTTGGTATTGAGCTGGATTGGCAGCAGTGCAGTTTAATCCTGCCAAAGGGCATTTGCTGAGGAAAGTCAGAAAGCTTTTAAATCATATTCTTAAAGGTTGAGTCAGGAGAAGATGACCTTGCAAAAGCTGTATTCCTGAACTGTCCAGACTTCCCCCCAGCCCATTCATGCTAGAGCTGCTTAGTGCACAGAACAATACGTTAAATAGTATGGCTTCTCCTTGTGTAATTCAATGCATCAGATTTGATTTTGCTGTGCATGCTGATTGGAAAGCTAGATAGAAAAGCTTAGTTTTGTAAAAGCCACATACACTAGCATCTTCTAGCAATTTTTTTTTTGGTAGCTGAAAGTATACTAGCATCACTTGATGGTCTAAAAGTAGACTTTCACTTACAATAGTTGATACAGACACACCACATTGCTTTCACCAGTGCCTCACAGTCTTTATAAGCAATTACAGCTCATAAAGACATGGAGAAAGTGGATGAAAAGCATGTGTGTATAATCATGCCTATCAAAATATCACAAAGATCAAGATTAATGTCATCATTATTGCTTCAAATCATGCATCTATGGCACATAACTACATTTACTTTATTGTCACGTAAATTGCGTTATAGTTCCCAGACACAACAGCCTATAAAACAGATCTCAACCTTCTGGCTTGGAAACGCTGTTTAGATTATTCACTCAGACATGTAGAGCAAATGTCCCAGGTAGTTAAAATATTCTTTACAACTGGTTGTCTAGATGGAAATAGGCTTTTCATATGTAGATACGAGCAGCTGCATTTCTCAACAGAAACAAGAAGCGCTCCAGCAAACTAGTTTCAAGTCATAAAAATTTAAGGCAGAGTTCTTCACCAAGCTCAATTAATCTATTTCAAGCTGGTGAAACTTCACCATCTTAATGGAGTTGCTTTCAACATCTAGCCTGTGAATTCACAGGTAGGCTCTGAAGAGTGGCATGAGTTCTGTGGCCACTTTGTCATATTTTCAAAAGAAATGTAGCTGCAAGAAAATTTTATTGCAAGTGTCTTAACTTCTATTTTTGCTCAAGTTAAGCATGTAAAAACATATCAAAAATTACTAGATCCTTGTGTTCCTTTCTTGGTAGTGTTTCTTCTAACGTGCATTTTTATATTCCTTTTTCTAGGCTACCTTTATTGGTTTTGAGCTAAAGGTTTTCCTTATATGTAGTTTTTCCTTTGCTGGCTCATGCAAAATTCCTATTCAAGTAAAATTAGAGGAATGTGAGCCATGTGAGCAACATGATGAACAGGAGACAGTATGTGGAAAGCAAACTAAAACCATGCATATAGGTAAGGAAGAGATCACATAATGCTTAGGTATCTTCATTAAAGAAGGGACACTCACCTTGACTATCTCAAAATACAGATATTGTCCCTGAAATACTAATCCAGAGACAAAAATTACAAAAAGTTGTCCTAGGATATAGAACTCCATGGCACTTCAGGAAATGACAGTGCTATGTGAGACTGAGGACCTGTGAGAAAGACTGGGGGAGAGACATTCTTCAGGCTACTGTGGGTTTTTTAATTGAGTATTTGGCTATAGAGATAAGTAAAAATACTAGCCCTGATATTCTTTGGTTAGAATCTGTGTTAGAGAGAGAAAACTAAGATATTGCAAACGTCCCTAATAGGATTTTTTTAATACCTGCCAGAAATATCAATTTTAGTTGCATCAAATAGTTAAAAAAAAGGAAAAAATTAAAATAATTATTTTTTTTCTGCAGTTGAGATTTCACACATTAAAAAGTTGATAAACAGCAATTTTTTATGCTTTACTGTGAAATGAAGAGGTAATTTTCACCCTTTGTATCGCATGTGGGATTTTTATATTGCTTTCAATGCATTTTTGTAAACATTGGAAAGGAAATAAAATAGCCCCTATAAAACATAGTCAATGTTACTGCCTGAACATTGAGCTGCAGATAGTGTTTTGTAATCCTCCAGTACTCATACACATATATATCAAGAGTTTTAGCCCTCAACTGCTACTAAAATTAATGTCTTGTAACCTTAAATATATTTCTCTACTAAAACAAAACAAATCCTCATCACAACAGATTTTAGCCTGCCTTTTGACACCAATTATGGACAAAAATTTTATTTATTCCTTTCGTTGTCATATCTAAAAGGGCCTTTTTTCGTGGCTTCTCCTCACACCTGCTGCATCGTCAGTTACTATGATACCATTCAAGACCAAAGTCCACCCACACCATGCAGTAACTGAGGTGGTCATGCTGTTCCACATGCCTCAGGTTCACTTTGACTGCGTTAGTCCATAAATAGTACCTTGTCCTTGCAAAGCTGAGTAAGAGCTCCCTTCCCTATCTCCTCCAATAGATGTGGATGTTCTCTGACTTACTTGGTATAATGCTCCTGAATATTATACAAAAGCAGATATTGTAGTGTACAGAAGCCATTTTTTTAAGGCTAATCTTAACAGCCAAATTAAAAAAAACTGAATGAAATATGCAGCTCTGCTCACAACTTTTTAGAGATACACAGCAAACATGGAAGTTACAAACAGCAGTTTTTCTGACATTGTAGTAATCCATGGACTAGCAAGCTACATTGGCTCTGGTATATCTCTCACTAAAGATTAAATATTTCTCTTTCTTCTGTGATTAGTAGCTTTGCAGAATGTGCTTATATTATTTTAGTATTGAGATATTTTATGATAGTAGGACAAGTAAACCCAAAAATTCTACAAAGTAACTGATGAAAAGTTTCCATTGATTGAAGCAAGACCTTTAAATTAAGCTGATGAAAAATATTTGTGCTTATTTAACAATTTGCCAGTTAGTAAATCCAAGTAATGACTTTTTTAGACCATTGTACAATTAGTAAGTAGACCTTGGAAAACAGAAAACAACAGAAACAAGGATATGTGCAAAGAAAATATGCTGCTTCACAGTTCTTCCAGAGTGCATTTATACTCCAGAGAGAAAATCTTCATGGTATTAAGGGAATCTGTATCTATCATGACAGCACACCACCAGATCATATTCAAAGGTTTATGAAAAATCCACACTCACTCCCCATGAGGCAGCCTAGGAATGGAAGCTATTTTTCAGGCTTGTGCATCTGCAACATGAACAAAGTTTCACCATTTAGGAGACACTGCTTTATAGTGGAAAAAAAGGGGGAATTGTTTTCACTTTCTCACCTATTTTATTCTCATGAGGCCATAGGACTGCACGGGCTAACATCACTTTTCCTTAAGTAAGCAGATCAGATTAAAAATAGACTGGGTACGGCAATAAGATGCCATCTTTACAGTCTCACTATGCTGCAGTTTTAAATCTGGAAGTAGGGCAAAGTCTCATATGAATCCCTTACAGCGATTTGTTATGAGAAAGAGACAATACTTGAATTTTCCTGTTTGCCTGGGACAGGAGGAGGGGCTTACATCTCAGCAGAAAACATACAGGTTCAATGCTAAACAAAACTATCCCTACCAAAACAGCGAAGTGCTTCTCTTAGGCGTGTTTGCTGGAGCCTCCAGCATTATGTGAGTAGCTAGACACACATCAAGTCATGGATTCCATCTTGTCCATCTCTTCTCCACAATGGTGACATCAATCTCCATTGTTCACTGGCAGCAGCTATTTCATGTGCCAGGCCAAAATCACGCCAGTAAAAACAATATCAGATTTCTAAAGAAGTGTTGTTGCAGTTGCTGCTGTTATTCTGTTTAATGTTTTGTATTGCATTAGTCAATAGGTACCTCATTATTTGCAGCCTCCTTGCTTTTTCCATTTTATTACATTTTAGTTGTCAAACAAGATTCAAAAGAAATAAATCCTGGAACTGTTGTAATGACTTGTTTTCCCTTTTCCGAATGTCCATTCTCTGGTTAAGAATGAATGCTTTTTCCAATCCCTTCTGGAGTCACCATCTCATCTGATAAATTTTAGTTACTCTTGATACTCATGCCTTACCCATGAATGTTCATCAGCTCTATTGCCTATGAGCCAGCTCAGAGCTGCAGAGATTATTATCTGTCGTGCCTTTCAGAAATTTGGTTTGTAGCACTAACTTTTGAAAAGATTTTTTGCTGACATTTTGTAAAGATACAAATGAAGCGCAAAAGAGATTGCAGCCTGCGATGCAAGGGAGTGTTAGGCAAAGCACTGCTTGCCTGCTTCCATGGCTCCAATTTCACCACATAGAATCACAGAATATCTTGAGTTGGAAGGGACCCACAAGAATCATCCAAGTCCAACTCCTGGCCTTGCACAGGGCAGCCCCAAGAATCACACCATGTGCCTGAGAGCATTGTCCAAACACTTCTTGAACTTTGGCAGGCACATGCGAGAAGTAGTCATCAAAATGACAAAACAGAAGCAGCCAATCACAACAGAAAAGTAGACAGTACCAAGAAAAAACACAGCATCTCCTCCCGCTACTCAGAAGCAGGAAAGGAAATTTTGTGAGGAGAAAAAGCCTGAACATCTTTGAGAACTCAGATTATTATGGAATCTAAATTGCTGAGCATCAGACAAGAAGGTATAGTTTTCCATCAGTGGTAACAGTTATCAGCATGTCATTTTCTTCTAAAGTTCAGCCTGCCCTCTATTATCTTGTTCTACAATAGGCAGAATGGCTGCAGAGCACCCTCTCATCACCTTGGGGTCTACCTGACTGCAGGGGTTTGCATCTAGTGCCACCTGGGTTGTGGTATTGCTTGACACAGCTTAACAGGACAAGCAAATATACAGTGAGAGACCAACTAAACTGATTTACAGAAAGTACATGTACATATGTAAAGGTGGGAAATAAAACCTTTAATATGGCTATGACCAATTTTTTACTGAGGATAAAAAGGTAACGTGCAATTATGCTGTTCACTTGCACTAAACATATCAATTATATTTTTAACTTGAGGTTAAAAAGTCACTCCTCCCCACTTCATTACTTCACCTTTCCTAAGCACCTGTTAATTTTGTTTGGTTTTAAGTTAATTACCCACATAGACTCAATCATTGCCAGTGTTCAGCAAAAGGCACCAAGAGCTGAAGGGAGGAATAGGAAAATATCCATGAGAGTGAACTGTGCAATTCTGGAATATGGAACTGTCCAGTGCCAGCATATACATGTTCTTACCCTCTGTTAGTGCCTTCCTAATAAAGTACATGTGTCTGCATACACACACACTTATCTCCAGATCATGGTATTGATCTACTCATTCTCCAAGCTGCTGTACCAGCTGTGGGCCCCACTGGAGGCTGCTGACATAGGGAATTTTTACCATCTTCTGCAGGAACATGGCCAGGCCCTAAATAAACAAAGAATCTACCTGTAAAGATGTACCAAGAGACTTATTCTCCCTCCCTTCCTTTACCTGGGATCAAACTTAAGCATTAATTTTTTAATAGAAGGATAGTTTTGTAGTCTCTGTCCTCTTTGATCATCCAGAATGTTTTAAAAAACAACCCATTGGTTCCCTTCCTTTTGAAGTTGTACACAGCAGGATCATTAGCAGTAGATAAACAGACAGATGTAGTGCTCAGTATTAGGTTTCCACGGTCACCATAACAACATTTAGTAGGGATGCTGAGCTACTATCATTTAAAATGAGACTGACAAGTGCTGCAGAGTTGTGGGCAGGTGACTTAGCTTTTGTATGGAGGCTGTTCTCTCCAGCAGCAAGCCAAGAACCTGGAGAAGGACCAAACAAGAGGCCAGAGCATTCTGGTGCATCAAAGGAGAGTTGGTAACTTTCAGCTCTGCTCGTCTCCTGAGAAGAGATGAAACTTTGCAGACCTAGGTCATTCATTTTGCAGCTTCTAGTTCTGGCTGATTTGCAGCTTCTGCTCTAATTGTCAAGCTGTAGAGAAGCTTCTGCAAACACTTGCCTTCTCTCCCCTCTTCCCTCTACCACCCCAACTTTATGGACCATGATTAGATGCAAATGTAATGAGCTCAGTTCAGAATTTGAGAGTCATTTATGCATAAGCACTTGTGTTAGATTTTCCTTTTCTAAACATAGTTTGAGTGGAAAGTGGTAGTTGAAAAGTAATACAAGAGAAGTTTCCTTTTTCTCCAGAAACCAGATGTGTAAACTGTGTTTAATTAATTTCTAGGCAATTATAAACATTATCAACGTGAATTAACAGTCTTACCTTATCTGCAGCAAGATAACATCTTGTCACACTCAAAGTCATAAAGCCATTCCAGTGACAGCTCGTTGATGGTGAAGTGCAATTATCTTCCTTCATATTGGTTGCTTAGTTCTAGACTGGCAGGCAATATACGTTGGGAATCAAGTGCCTGGTTAAAACTGCAAAAGAGTTGACCTAAAGTGATTCCTAAATTTCTATCCCATTTAAAGACAAACAGTAAGAAATTCCTGAGGTGTGACACTGGATGTTTTGTGGCAGAAGCTGGTAGGAATTGGAAGTAACCTGCATGTCACTGGTACTTCTATGATAGTTTCTAGCTGAGAATCATTTCTATCTAAACAACATTTCTCTGTGCTGTAGGTAGCTTCATCTTTATCTTTTATACTATGACAGTACAGCATAAGATAGAGATTTAATTAATATCACCAAAAGTTTGTGTTTGACATGTAAATGAAAGCCCAATTCCTAGTTCTGGCATTTAACCCGTGACACCCAATGAATGATAGTGAAGCTTCAAATGTGATCTTTTTACTGGAGGTTACAAACCCAAAAATCCATAAGTAACAGTCTACACAGGTGAGCTCACCTAATATCGAAGACTTGGAGGTAAGAATAGTTTGACATTCCAACGATAGCACAAGAGTTTGCTGTCAGGAAGAACAGGAGGGAAAAAGAAGACGACCTTAATTTAGGACTTTCTTGCCATAATAGTATTGGCAACATTATGCTGAGTTTATGTAAAGCATTATTTGTAGTGACAGTGGACACAGGCATCAAAAGAGAAGCCTGATGGAATGAGTTTTGGTGCTAAATAGCATCAAGACATTAGGCTATCTCAATAGACATAAGTGAAAAATGACATTTCTCAGAGTTTGGAGAGATTCATTTCAGAGCAGCCTGCAGCCTCCAGGTGGTGCAAAAGCAAGGCTTTGAATAGGTGATTTTAGCGCAAAGCTCCATGCAGAAGGTTCTGCTGCTGCCACACTTTGCCACACCCAATTACTAGCACTTCTTGTCTGTATAATAAAATCTATTCATTTGTTTCCTCCTCCCTAGGAAGGTGCAGCAGAGAAAACACGTGATGAACTCTTCCACAGCCTCTATTCTCTGTCCCTCTGTGCTGCTCATGAGGAAGGAGGTAGAGAAAATCGGGAGTAAAGTTAAGACTAGGAATAAGGCAGTGGTGAGGGTAAGGTGTTTTAAGATTTAGTTTTTATTTTCTCATGATCCTACTCTGATGTGATTGGTAGTAAATTAAACTAATTTCCCCAAATCAAGTCTGTTTTGCCCATTACAGTAATTGGTGAATGATCCCTCCCTGTCCTTATCTCAACCCACAAGTCTTTTATTATGTTTTTTCTCCCCCTGCCCAGCTGAGGAGGGGAGTGATAGAGCAGCTTTGGCAGGCACCTGGCATCCAGCCAGAGCCAGCCCACCACACTTCTCTATTTATCCATCAACACAAAAGAATTTGGGTATTGAAGAGTACTGAGCTACTTGAATTCTAAGAATTGTTTTGCTTGCTAGTACATCAAGGCTGACATTGACACATGCATACTCTTCATTAACAGGGAGAAAATGCATTTGAATAGAAGGGAAAGCAGATCAGACTTTGCAATACTTTCCAAAATACCATGTCTAAGCTAAACAAGGCATTATCAAAATCTTATAAAAAAATCTAACAGCATTTCTCTCTTCTTGCCTGCTTTGATCAGTAGTGAGGAAATTAAAAAGGCTGTCACTGATTGGCCTTAGCACCAGAATCTTTTTGAGATGAATGATGCAATTTACACCTCTGAAAACGTTCGGTTGACCATTCAAGCAGTCCAGAATATCATCTTTCTCCAAGTAAGCTTTTTATAGTTGTCATTTATAGATCTCAATAAATGTCAGAGGTGTTAAGTGGAACAATTGTTCTAATGTAGAAAATGCAACCTATAGAGAATTTTTTTTCCTAGCAAAACCACATAACTTTTCACTACTCTGTCCTGAACTGGAAACTCAACTATTACTCTGTAGGTAGAAAGATTGCATTCAGATTCTGATTTTTGAAGCATATTAGCTTAACAAATTAAGTGTGTCCAGTTCTGGGCCCCTCAATTCAGGAAGGACATTGAGGTGCTGGAGCATTTCCAAAGAAGGGCAACAGAGCTGGTGAAGGGTCTAGAGCATATGTCCTATGAGGAGTAGCTGAGGGAGCTGGTGTTGTTTAGTTTGGAGAAGAGGAGGCTCAGGGGAGACTTTATCACTCTCTACAACCACTGAAAGGAGGTTGTAGCCAGGTGGAAGTGTCAGCCTCTTTTCCCAGGCAACTAGCAATAGTCTTAAGCTGCACCAAGGGAGGTTTAGGTTAGATATTAGAAAGAAATTCTTCACAGAAAAGGTGATTAGACTTTGGAATGGGCTGCCCAGGGTGGTAGTGGAGTCACCATCCCTGGAAGTGTTTAAGGAAACACTGGATGTGGCACTAAGTGCCATGGTCTAGCTGACAAGGTCGTGTTCTGTCATAGGTTGGACTTGATGACCTCAGAGGTCTTTTCCAACCTAATTGATCCTGTGATTAAAAAAAAAAAAAAAAACCAAAAAAATAAAGCCAGAACTTTGTTTTACCTATTCTTAGCAGCTCAATTGTTAATTTTAATTAAAAAGCCCTGTTAAACTACTGTTGTGTAGTATTAAAGTGTTTGTCTACTCTTCATATGAAATAGAAGATCTACAAATATGGAAAAGAATTTGGGCAGGTACTGAGGTTATGCAATTATTAATATTTGAGTGTAAGTCTTTAGTTTTTGGAAAAGTTTGATCAGTTACAACGGGGTATTCATCGGAATTTTTCAGAAATAATGTACTTATAGATATCTAATACACCTTTTCCCAAGATAGGATATTTAGAAAATATAAAATCAGTTGCTTTTTGTGAATATATCTATTGCTGCCTATTTAGGACTACTTTAGAAGATGTACTACTATATTCAGCAGTAGTCACCTACTGCAGTTCATCATTCAGAAAGGGATGTAGGGAAGAGCTCAATACTCCATCACCACACTTTCAATGCTATCTGGTGTCCCAGGCTGGCTGGGAGATGCATAAACATTCCAAGTGCTAGATAGATAGGATTACTGGGATTTGAAGTCAAGCATGTGCTCTGAGATCATTGAGAAGACAATTCATCTCCAATGCATTCGACAGGCTTCACAGGGTTTTCAGAATACTTGTCTGTAGATTATCTGTCTTCAGAAGCAAGAAAAAAAAAGGCACTATTAAATCAACATCAAGGAGATTGGCAATTTCACCTCCTGCTTTTCTTGAAGCATAGGAAGAGAGGACAATCCGAGAAACCAGTGTGCACAGGAAAATACAAGAAGACTGCAAAGCTGTTCCCTTTGTTGAGCTTTCTTTTAGAGCTTTCATAGCTCCACAAGACAAATCTCTTAATTTTGCAGTTCCATCAGACCAGCATTAACTAGTGCATAGATCTCATTGACTTTACACTGCAGCTTGTAAGACACAGCAACATCTGTTTTCCAACCAAACTGAAGATCAAATGCGGCTTACCCAAATAGACACTTTGAAATAATGAATGAGTATGGGCTAAAAGGGTTCCCTCAACAGTGATAAGAGAAACCTAGAGCACCTGCAGCTAATGTTGAGCACACAGCTCACACAGCCAAAGCAAGCGATATTAACAGCTTTATGCTGCTCTTCCTTTTTACTCTGGATAGGAGTAAAAACTCAAACAATAACCTGACAATGTTAGCAAGATATACATCACTCTCTCACTCCCACTTTTCCTCTATGAATATCAAATCCTCTCATGCAAAGAGGAAACAAGGACTTTAGAGTAAGCAAGTTGTCACTAGTAAGCAGTCTAATCTCATATGCAATACAGTTTGAAACATCTGGGAGGTTCCTCCTTAGTAACACAGATTTTGCAATTTCCGTTTTTCCACATGAAACATCTATGCTTCAATATTCAGTATTCTGTATTACAAAGATACATATCCTAATTCTTGTTAACACAATGAATATTTGTATTGCATAAGCAACTAGTTATAGGTCCTATGATCATGAAGAGGAAAAAAATAGAGCATTCATATTTCTTGGTTAGACCATTAAAAAATTGTTAATATATTCCTCCTATTAAATCAGGTAAACCATAACGCTAACAGCAGCATAACATAGAATGTACCTGCTAGAGATCTCTGATTCAAAAGCTTTTATAGCTCAGTTATGCATTATGTATGTGATTAGTGGATTCTCTTTCCAGCTTAATCAAGCTTAACTACTTGGACTGCAAATACTCTCTATTCTCAAATTACTGAAAACAATTATACAAGTACAAAGAAATTTCATTTAAGAATTATGTAACTGAAAGTAGGAATCAGCATTGATCCAATTAATGTTTAAGTTCTGCAGTTCTGTAACAGAAGCCAATTAATATTCAGTGATCACGTAAAACATCTTCCATAGAGCTAGAAATGTGCCTGAAGTCCATCAGCTTCTGAGGGGAGAGGTCACTAGAAGTACCTTAATAAGGGCTATTTTAAAATGAAGAGCTGGATGTTGTGGTTTTGCTAATAATTAACAAGAGTTTCTCTACTTTCCATGAGAAATCCCTATCCTAGATTCATTATCAGTATTTCTTTTCATATGTCTAACAGAACTTTGGCGTAAAATCCCCAGCCATAGCCCAGAAGCAGGCTTTTTCAGGGAATAGCTCCTCTGCCAGCCCAGCCTTTCCTTCAGCAGCCCTTTTCAGACTGAAGCTCCTGTCTTTCTCAACCCTCACCAGCAAAGACCTCATTCAATTTGTTCCCTCTGTCTTCCAGTCTCTGCAATTAGATGATCACAAAAGTAACCAAAATTACTTCAGCTGAAGCACAATTCCTAGTGAGAGTATTCAAACACAGCTCTTTCTACTCTGAAGATCATACCCTTTGGTAGTAAGTGTTCATATCGATGCATGAAATCCAGAGTGTGTTCTGTGGAAACATAGAGCTAATTTTATTCTTTAAATTAAACTGTTCTTCAGAGAATATCACTGTTATGAAGAAAACATTATACTGTAGGTACAATTCCTACTAAATGTGTTTTCTCCAAGATAAGACTGAATCCCTTACTCATTAAGTATCAATTTGGTTTTCTTTTAGGCTTACTTTCTATCAAATATTTTATTAAAAAGCATTACATGAAACTGGTGTTATCATGTCATCTTGGTATCTGAACTGTGTTTTGTGAACCATACTTTCATAGTTAAGCAACTTAAGAGGTTCAACACATTCACCCTCTGTGACTTAAAATTTTAAGTCTTGTCTGGTGTGGGACAGGGAGGGTTGTGAGTTTGTCCTTTCCCCTCTCACAAGTATATTTTATGGCATCTCACCTCAGAACAGGGCAGATTCCAAAACTCACTTAAATTGGTCTATGCTGAGGGGTGCTTTACTGCAATTATTACATCCTAAAAGGATGTTTGAGTGAGTGAGCTGACCTACCATAGGGTACTGTCCTATTGCTCACCAGCACTACAGCGAGATACCCCTGCATGCTTTGGGCAATGATGGACTCTTCTTAAATCTAAATTACCAGTTTCTCGCTAGATTCTCACCAGGAATCTTCTTTGAGCTACATAGAAGGGAGAATGGGACAAGGTCATGTTTACTGATAGTAGACCTAGAAAAAGAAAGGACTAGAGTCCAATTTCACTGCTCTGGTTTTGTGTTGTCACATAATTACAGAGCTTCATTTCCTGCCTATAAATTGAAAAGCTCATTGCAATACATTTTTCCAACTATAATTGCATACCCATGTAATTCAATCCTTACTGTATTTTATACTGTGCATTAAATGAGTTGCATTAGAAAACAAACTCAATGGTTGTTAGTTGTTAACACATTTAGGGAATTGAATCAAGCTTAAAACCATTGCTGAAGCATTTGACACAAACCTCAAAGGCAAATCATAATACAAATCTTGATTATTTACCCTGTTCTGTAGATCCTTATTGCCTCTTTGGGTAGGAGAGGGAGCGCATGCCAATTTACTTATACTGACAACAGTTTCTTAATAGAGTTGTGCACCTCTCATAAATAATGTTTTGTATGCACCTCATTAAATGTGTGGCAGGGGAAGTGGGTGGCTGGGGAGGCAGAAAAAAAGCCTCTTCTCCATGGAATCAGTTCCAAGGATAGCTTTGTCTTCATTTTGCTCCAGAAGGGCAGGATAGCTTTGTCTTCATTTTGCTCCAGAAGGGCAGGAACTGACTGAGGTACTCTGCAGATCCAAACCCTCATCTGCAGATGTTCTGGGTCTCTGGACTGTGCAACATAAGGTCATGAAGTCCTAGCCACCCCTAGTCCAAATTTCAAAAGACAAATGTGCTGCCTGTGGTCTGGTAGGCTATTAAAAAAAAAAAAAAGCCTGACTCACAAAACAGTTTAACAGAAGCAAAACATATACTCAGGCAAGAATATTTATTCCTTGCTGCCTGGGTATATGCAGTTGCCTCCCTCTAATTTTGTGAAAGCAATTATTTTATTCATTTCACATTATGTCAAAATTCCACTCCACTGCTTCCTGCTATGCAAGGGAGGTATAACCACTACAAGAGGGTCCTGAACCTCTGGGTCTTACACAGTCCAGTTAAGTAGAACTTATTTCTTCCCTTTCCAGTTCCCTCACAGTTTTCAGCCTATTGTCTTCTCTTGGTCTATGTGAGTTTATAGGCATGTTCTTCACTGGGAAACATATCTCCTTTTGATTTCTGGTATGACTGACATAAAATGATAAAGTGGTTGGCATTCTTCAAGCAAACCCATGGGAAGATACTTTACTTAAATCAATTTGTACAATATTCAGAAAATACTAGGTGGACAGTGTAGGGCAGTAAGAAAGATGTCAATTAGCTTGATACAATTTGCTTCTTCATCACATGAATCAATTATGTCTTTTTTCCTAGATCTGTGCAATGAAATTAGGAAGAACAAAGGAAACCATAATGCTTTACACAGCATAAGCCATGACACTACAGGTGAGTTTGGGTCTCAGAGATCCATGCAAGCACTTTCTGCAAATTTCACAGCCTAACACTTCCAGAAGCACAATTGGCTTTCTGACAAAACACAGTCTCCCTGGTGAAAGCAAGACTTCATTTAATGATATTAAAAAAACCCCAAAAAACCAAACAAAAACCAAAAACCAAACCTCCTTATTAAAAAAAAGTATAAAACAAGTAATATTTCTTTAAAAGGCAGCTTGAGAAATTGTTTGTTCTGATTCATTTAAAATTTGATGCCTCGAATTTGTGATTACATCTAATGTTGGAACCTTGCAATAGTAAGATTGTGTAGGAAACAGGGATTCATAACAAAGTATTCGTTTCAACTGATAATTGCTGTGAGTCATTTCTTTTCATATCCAACCTTTAACCAGTGTGTATCCAAAACCCCAAGAAGCGAAGTTTATTTTGTACATTTTAAACAGGCAAACTAGGGAAAAGGAAAGACAGTTCCCTACACACTCAACTGCAGTGTGCCAACTACCAAGTTTTGGGAGTTGTTTTGGACTACAAGACCAAAGCAGAGGAAGAGGTTGTACATGAGGGCAGGCTGCAGGACCTACCCCAATTATTCTGTACTCACCAGTTGTCAGTAACTGGCAGCTTCATGAAGCATGGTTCTGCTGATTACACTGCTTCTAAAGAGGGACTCAGAGCTGAAACCTCTCACCTATGATCACACTGCATCTCCTCCAAAAGCCTTCACCTGCTGTGCTACCCAGCACAAGCACAGGCCTTTCGTTCTTCCCATAGACGCCTGCAGAAGCTTCAAATAAGGTCTCTTCAGAGCTCACTCTTCCCCAGAGTGCCTCAGACAGAGACACCCATCATCCCACCACCTAGCTCCAAATAAGAGGCCACAAATTAGCATGACTGATATTAGAGCAAGAGCATGTAGGAATTTCACAGCAGCAGATGGACCTCTGGAAGCTGCAGCCCTTAGCTCTGTTAGGTTTGGCAGATGCAGGAGAGTCCTGCAGCTCCTGTGAGCCCCACAGCTGCATCCCAAAATATTTACACGGATCAAGAACTTCCTCACTACCCCACAAAGAGCCTAAATGTGAGCTTTGGCAGGCAAAGTGCTGCCAGAGAACAGGCGTTTCAAGAGCAATTATCAGTTCACTCTGCCTTCTCCATGCCACTCAGTGGAAACTCTGGACCTCATTTTTGGTTAGTATGAGGCATGTGGGGAGTTTTGCTTAAAATAAGGTCCCTCACCCTTCCCATGAGAGCCTGCAAAGGGTTCTCTCACATTTGTTTCCTACATGTAGATCTCATACGGACCCTTCTCATTTTTCACCCTTCTCCAGGACTGCTTTGAGAGCTCCCTCATAGTGCAGTCCTGCCTAACTGATTTGGGCAAGAAGATGAAATGGGCTCCTTTTAACCCTTTCCAGGCTGCTACAGTGGAAGAAAAGGGTGCTTGCACTTCCACAGGGGTTATGAGCTGTTACTGTAATTGTATCACAAAATGAGCTGGTCTGATGTCTAAGTGTAAAGTGTGCAGGAGGCAGAAGAACTCTTTGTGGGCTGGTGAGGCTTATACAGCAATGCAGCATTCAGCTCCACTACTCCCATTTTTTTAAAGAATGTTGATCAAATGAATATAAAGAACTGCTGTGAAGTGGTTCAGGGACTGGAGCAAATTGGTCACTGCAAAAGACTTTAAGAAGTAGTTTATTTATTTTGTCCACAGAGCCTAAGAGAATTGACTACAGTACATAGCTATTTGCATGAAAAGAGGAAAAAAACCCTAGTATTAATGATCTCTGTAATCCAGAGCTACAAAAAAATCTCAAATGAGAAAGCTCATGTTTTAAATTTGCATGAAATGTAATTTTCAAGAAACCACCCACAAAGGAAATTAATGTATTCTTTTTTTTCTGGTTTAGTCTTCATTATTTCAGATCTTATAACTTGGTAGCAGTTTCTATTTTTTTAATTAATATAAAAATCATTTTACCTCTGTGCCATCAATAAAAATTATCCTAAAATTATACATATTAGAATATATATTTATTAAACACAGAAAAAATGAGGCAAATATGTGAGCCTGGGTGCTTGACTATTAATAATGACTTTGGCAGAAACCCAATTTTTAGTATCTTTTTTAGAAAGGACCTTATGTTGCTAAAGACATTTTAGGACTAAGAGGCAGGGCAGGCTAGAAATAAGCTCCTTTTCAGAGGAAATAGAGGCAAAGTCACTTTCTGGTTTGGATATTAATCAATTTTTGGGAGATTCCTGGAGAGTCTGATAAAAAAGTTAATGGGTTTTCTCTGTGGCAGTTCTCCTTAGAAAGTCTACTGAATATCCATGGGGAACTTAAATAATCCTTCCGAATGCGTTTTTAAATTTATGTTCTTGAAATATCTCCGTAGAGAAGGTATTCTGTATTAACTTCTCTAGTTATGACAATAGTTTCTCAAGCAGGCTACTGCTTTAATCTTTATTAAACTTTGTAAAGATTCTTTCAAGAAAGTTTAACTATGTTTGAAATCATGTCAGCTTTTGCATAATTTTACATGATTTTACCTTCTTCGTGGAAGAAGGAGCCAGCAGCTCGGCTTCCCTCCCTCTGGAACAGCATGCTGTCCGTCGCGGTGCAGGAGATGCCAAGGGTGGTAATGTGCCTTGGCTAAGGAGGTCCGTGGGGAGCCCAGGCCTCCTGCACAGCCAGGCTGGATGGAGTGCAGTGCAGATCTCTTCCACGACACATGCTGGTCTGTTTCTATCTCTGAAATGTGGCTTGGCTACTTGAAAAAGCTGGGATCTGCAGGTTAGAAATGGACATTGCAAGTCCCCTCTCCTTTCTAACTTGGTCCCAAGGATCTGTACCTAAAGGTCCTTTCCTGCCTTCACATGAGATTTTCTGTGTTACTTCACAGAGAGCATGAAAAAGTCTAATGGGACGTTCAAAAAGTGTGGTTTTGGGTGCTCCTTGTTCCTGTCTGACTTCTAAATCCAACAAACTCCAGCCAAGTGAAGGTACTTGCCAGAGAGCACGGCTGTCACCTCAGCAAGCCAGCCTTTGCTCCCAGAAAGGGATGTCATGGGTACCAACTCTTGATGTTCATCTTGGCATGATGCTGCTTCTAGAAACTGCCATAGAGACAGAAGCAAAAACACTGCAAGTCTCCCCACCACCCCGGGGAACATCCTTGATCTGCCTTTCTGTGTTCTGTTTGGCCAACAACCTGGCTCATAACCTGTGGCTTTGTAACAAAATCACTAAAATGGTATCTAAGGGAAATAACAGCCCAGCTCTGGCTCCTGGGTGTATTTTACCTATGTAGAGGATGGTCTTTGATGGCGCTTGGGAACATCAGAACAGGACAGGTGGATGCATACATGCAGTGCTAGTGAAACCTAAAAGAGAGCAGTGGTGGAATGGCAGAGAAAAGCATCTATAGTCTTTGAAGCCTGGGATTTTGTTACATCTTTGTCTCTGCTCCTATACTAGATAAAACTTTAGTAATAATATTGTCCATTCAATTCTAAAATTCATGCTTCAGTACTTGCCCCAGTGACTTCGTGCAACAGCACAATCCACCAGTTAATGAAAATCTGCATAAGGATAACATCAAATTAAAAAACCCCTCTGTTGGACCAAGGATGCAAAAAGACAGGGCCATGACTGCATTGCAGGCGCAGGGGGTGCAGGCTGACATTTCTAATCTTGAAGCAATAACTACAAAGCTGTAGGTGTCTTTTTGTGGGAGATGACTAAGGTTTTGGTGTTAGGTTCTGTAACACACAACCTGGTAGCTGAAGGAAAGGCCCCCTCTGCCCCAGCTCTGAACAACAACTTGCTCAGTCTATGTTTACTGGATACTTTTATCTCCATGGCTCATCCCCATCGACCAAGTTGTGACAGGAGAGTAAAAATGATTAATGAAGCAAATTCTCCTTTTTTTACCTCACAACAAAGTTCTGGATGTAGGCGTGTTTCTATAGTAACAATAACGTCCTCAGAAGAATTTGTTGGTTTATCTCCTGGATTAATTCTTTGGAGTCTTATAATATTTGGACTTTAAAGCATGTTTCTTCTCCACAGAAAGCAGATTGTTCTTTCCCTTATAAGGATCCAAAATTAAATAACATGTTGACTGACATTTAGTATTGCTGAAATAGGACGTTTTTACAATTGTATAATGCCAAAAACACCCCAAGCCAGCCCTTACTCCCCAAAATTAGCTAAGCATGGGAGGAATATATGTGAAATATGCTGAAAAGAATGGAGGGAGGGATGCTCTTTGGTAGAGCATGGCAACATCTCATGACAAGAAAGAGTGCAAAGGTGTTTTTCCTAAAACACAATCAGTCCATAATTAAGCCATTATATATACTCCAAAATACCATGTAGTATCTCTTTCATAGGATGCAGGTTTTGACAAACACTTTTCTTGTTTGCAGATGCATTTATACAGATGCTTAGTAGCATATATTTTTATGCCAATGTTATATAAAAACTGCTTTAACTTCCAGAAACACTTGAAGATTCTTTTGCCATGCCCTGACAACAGAAAAATCACACAATGCAGTTACTTCATGCTGACTCTTTGCAAGGGGTCCTCCATACTTTCAGAAGCATCAGTGTATTTCAGTCAGTCTCCACGCTGCGCTGAAATTAGTTTGTGGCACAGAAGGTTAATTCTTTTCATCTTAAAAGAATAAAGATTTATTTTTCTAAATATGACAGATCTTTAGGACAGAATGTAAACTAAACCATCCTACTTTCAAGTGAGTTTTATGGGTCAGTACAGTTTACCCACCCAGAATATGTGAATTTGATCTATGTGACACCCCTGTGCCCTTGCAGAACAAGGTCTGGTGCACTTCTGGGGTCCTCTGGACTGGCCCCAAGAGAAGAAGGAGGATAGGCTCCCTAAAACCTACTACATTTTGAAGTGATTTAGCCATGAAAACTAAACTTTAAAAAAAACTTTAAAAAATGTTGGAGACTATTCTGGCCTTTATTTCTTTATTTTAAAAACTGTCCCAAAATCTGGACATGGCTCTGGGCAACCTGCTTTAGTGAACCCTGCTTGAGCAGGGAGGCTGGACTAGATGGTCTCCAGAAGTGCCTTCCAGCTTCAACTGTTCTGTGATCAGAGGGTTTTATTTTTTGCCTTGCCGCAGCTTTCTGCAGAAGCATTCCCACATATCTCAAAGCTGTAAGACCAGGCCAAGACTTCTTGTTACACATGCCCTTTTTATGCAATGCTGGCCACAAGGGACAGAAGCTTGTCAGCTAGTGGGAGGCAAGCAGAGACACATAGAGATAGTACAGAGGATGTGCAGAAGTCACCAGGGAAAACACAATTCTCCTCATTACCCGGAAAGAGCTAACACCCAACAGGCTGCAAAATGAGCAGCAGAGCTCTGGTAGATGTGCTATGCGTTGCTGTGGGACCTTACGGCTGCACTCAGGTGGCCCTGGGGCTGTTGTACCATCTTCTGTTCCTTAGGGATCTGAAACAGGTAAAGCAGAGGCTGAGGTGACTCATCAGGAGGGTTTAGAAGGTCTACCAGTCAGATGCAGTATCTTCTGATATCCTAGATCCTCCTAAAACACTATTGACTTGCTCTTAGTCTCCAGTTTTCAATATCACATAGATGTTGGTTGATTTATCTGAACAGATACATACATTGATAAATATACACATTTTTACCAACTTGAAAAAAATATCATCAAACTGTTGCATAATACCTGGGAATAAGCATTACTAATGGAATATTAACCTTTCCACTATTACTAATCAAGAGTATTAAACTTGCAAAGAAACACAGAGCAGTCAGAAAGGTGTAGTTTCTGAACACAGACAGCATTAATGCCTGAACTTGAACTGTGGCAAAAGAGCAGCTACAGCTGCAATATATGCCACGATTTTCTGCATTTTGTACTCTGTAAATACTTTGACTTATGCTCTGACAGTAGTGTCAATCTGGGCAACCAAAAACTGTCATAATGAATGTTAAGAGACAAGAAATCTGGGAAAGTGAAAAAAAAATAAAAAATTGTTCTCTTCATGGGAGAAGCACTTGCAGATATGGCAGATGTCAATGTCATGGCTGCTACACATGGAGCCAAATAGCTCTGTAGAGGTGATTTTGCATACAGTTTTGGGAATAACTCCATGTAAGAGAACATGGAACTATTTGTCCTGGGTTTAAGTATTTTTCTCTTCAGATTTTTCAGGATAATGCTCAGAGACTGCCAATCACATTTACATCACCTCAGAGAAAATATAATTTCTGTCATGATTTCAATTATTACTTCCAAATATGCCCAATCCTCTATGTACTACTTGTTTCTAAACTGGCAGTGTGCAAGATTTCAGTCTAATAAACTGTTTTCTTCCTTTTCAGATCCACCTTTTTGGTATTTGAACCCAAGTACATAACAACTGAAAACTTATGAAGACTGAAGACCGGTTGAAAACTGATATGAAGGCTGAAGCCTACAGTATCTATCTGTTTCTTCACATGATTTGAGTATGTTCCAAGACTTTGGATTTTCCAGCTTCAGCATCTTTTGTGTTGGAGTCCATAAAATAGGCTGAAGAACTGTATTTGTTCTCAGCAGTTTTGTTGAACTGGAATACATGTGAAAGTTTCTTATCTCCTAAAACAAAGGTAATGTAGAAGGTGTATGTTATTTTTCTGTATGTAAGAAACATCACTATACCTATATTTTGATAATAAAATAAGGTGGGCAAGTGGAGGGACACATTCTCAATGACTATTCAAAGTATGGTATTCATACTGATATGAATAGAAACCTTAAGTACCAGTGAAATCCTGGGAAATAGACAGGTTTCTTCCTGAGAAAATAATCGATTTTCATTTGAAGATCTTACTGGCTCTTACTAGTGTTCTTAAGAGTATTTAAGTATTTATTGTTCAATATACATGATCTCTATGTTATCTGTCAACTTCTCCTTGAGGCTTGAAATAAAACCAATGCTTTCAGCATTTCTTTTCTACAGGTCCATTTGCAACTTTGTGAAAAGTTATGGTGTGTTTTTTTTCTCTCAAGACTATCCCAGCTGAGTTTTGGGTCAAGCAGACTCTTTGGAAGGGTATCCCAGCTGCTTTTCAAATAGTGAACATCCCAGCCCACTTTCTCCTGAAATCTGTTAGGATCTAGCTTTGAATCTGGCTCTAACTGAATACTCATCAGCCTCTGAGGGAGTAGTAAGCTAACCTATTCCATCTCTTTTATGGTATTAGAAAGCAAAACGCCGGAGTTTTTCAGCTGTGAAGAAAAGCAGTTCCAAAGTATACGGTCAGGTCAAGGGTTTCAAACTGCCAACATCACATGCAAAATAAAGGACTATGTTGCCTTTCTATTAATGGTGTCATTTTAATGTAACTCTTCCTTATCACGAGTTTTTTCATGAAAACAGCCATTTATTCAAATAGCATTATCTGAGGGAGGATGAAGTTAAAGAGTTGTGACAGAGTGAAGTAAAAAAAAAATTTAGAAGTCACATTATCAAAAGGAGTCTTCTCTGACTCATTCAGTTATTTTATGCCTATATAAGCTCATACTTGTACCATATTTTCATTGAATTTCATGATATAAAAATAATGCTTAATTTTGAGTGTAATGCATTCTGTATAAAGACCGAAAGATATTTAAAAGTATAATGGTAATCATCTGCCTATAGCACAAGATATTATACCTGAATGCATTTTATTGCCTTTCTTCATTATATTCTCTGAAGCAGTAGCAGGAATTTGGAGACACAGTAATCATCCAAGCAAGAAATAGAATAGATGAAGCAGTTGACTGGCATATCCTGGACAGTGAGGGTTGGGTGTTTTTTTTTTATTAAGCACAGTTTAATTAGTTTTTGGACTAATTACGTGGCAGTGACTGTTCAATATGATAAAGGTAGCTGCTGCACTTAAAAGTATTATACACCAGAGGGTATAATAGGGGACTGGAAAGTAAAGTGTTTGGAAATCAAGAAGTGAGAGAGTTGCTATTGCCCTTTCAGCTTTACCATGGTGTGCTTATATACACACTGTTGTGGGCAGTGGTATGTGTTTGTAGGCAGTGCTCTGCGCAGGACCTTCCTCCTTCAGATCATGGGATGAAGCTGCTTGCAGAATGAATCAAGGCTGTGCAAAGAGAAGGGCTAAAACCAACTCCTGTGCCCATTGTAGGAACTGGAAAGTACTCAGCAGATGAGTAGGAAAGGATGAGCTCATGGCTAAGGCAGATTAATTCTGCCCAGGATATAGTTTTCCTATCACTGCCTCAGTCACAGACGACTCTTTTAAGTGCCAGCAATCAGCAGCTGTAACTCTGCACGCACTTGTAAGCTGCGTTTGGTGGGACCCAGGGCTGGTCCAAGAGCTAAGCTGCAGAAGGTGTTAGCACCCATCACAACAAGTGCTCTCAAAAGCCCAGGCTAGTTATACTGACCTAAGTGTTCCTTCAAACTGGAAAAACCCTGTGTGTAACAGTGTGCAGAGGTCCCTCTGTATTCAGGATTGCCCTTCCACATGTTTCATCAGTCTAATATTATTACTATGAAAACACAGAGCTTATGGATTAGAGCTCTCTAGTGCCACAAATGTATGAATTTTCACTTTGAAGGCACTGATGTGTGCAGTATGCAGAAGCTGCTATAATTGCTAACTATTTTGCTTTGTCCTAACAACACTCTAATCTCTAATCTAGCCTGGGACCAGCAGTACAATGAAAACCACCCTTAAGGTAGACCATAGTTCATCTTCTTCAGCTATTTTCCAGCATCAGTAGCCTCTCTGATGCTAGAAAATGCATTCAGATAGTTTTACTCTTGCAAACCAAACACCGGCATATAGGAAACCTTGGCATTGTGACAGATCGTGAAATTGCAATACTGTTGAGTTGCCTATAGATGCCTTAATGTAGCCTTCATCAAATGGCGCTTTGGGTGAAAATATGGGGACTGTACAACAACAAATTGCACCCCATGCTGCAAGATCTATAGTGCTCAACTGGCAAACTCATGTCAGATACTATTTTTTCCTCCATGATTCCCTATTCCATACAAAGCTCTGCACAATCTCCACTGTCTTCAGTGGCTAAGGCAGGTTTATATAAACTGTAAGTCCAAGTGGCATCTAGACAAAAATAAATTGCATTTGAAGCTTTTTGGTCACCCTTAACCTGAATCAGAAAGAAAGATTATGCCTCCATATGTAGGTTTTTCTAGTACTGCTCTCTCATTAGTCTTTTTGAGAGTACACATTCTCCAGCTATCCTGAATGCAACCCTTCACATTTACAAGACCACCAAGTCTTTTAAGACAATGGAAGATAATGATCTTATTTTAAGGACAAGTAAACGGAGGAAGATATGAAAGCTGTCTAAAAACTTGGTTAAGCAGATGAAGTTCACAGTTCCTTACTTATTTCTTTGGACTGAAGTACCTAATGTCATTTTGCTTTAATTCAAAAAACAGTAAATACAAGCTACAAAAATATTGAGTCCAAGATGACAATACTGGCAACATTATTTTTATAATAATCACAATATATTTCTAAAATAAAGTATTTTTGTTGTAGCAGAACAGTCCTCTGTTTCAAATCACTGAAAGGTGTATCAGTAATATTCATTCACCCTAGGAGCAGAAATCTGAGCTACATCATTGATTTCACTTCAGTATGTTCACAAAAGCTAGAAATTCTATTATGATTTAAAAGTTCTTTTCAAATGCAAACACTTTCATTTGAGAAACATTTTTTAAAAATATTATTTCTACATGATTCTTGTAGAATATTGTATGCATAATATTAATAGAAATCTTTACAGTCATTTGGCTAATTTCAAATATGCTTTTCTTTTGGAAGGTGCAGATTCACCAGGCAACCAGGTCCTCTGTGTTATAAACAATTAATGTTTCTAGTAATTAATGTATTATGTAAATTGTTTTTTCGTCAAGTTCATGCAGTACCTTGGTTGTCCATTCAGTGTAAGTTTCATAATCTTAAGAGAAAAGATCTGCAGTATTACCAAAGTTCTCACTGCAGCAATAATTTTGCTTCTCTGAATGCCTAGGAATTGCTGACCTGTCTGGAATACCTCACATTTCTGTAGGGTGACCTCTCATGTTACCTACATTGCAGGGAAAGGAGGTACCTGTTGTCATATGGTCCCATCAATTTAATGTTTGGACCCTACTGCAGCAAAGTTATGTACAAGACTAACAGTGTAACTGTAATTATGACTAAAGGGGACAGATTTTTCCAGATACACCCATTAGATTATGAGCACAAATGGGACTTGATTGTACCAAACCCAAAATGCCCATTTTTAATTTCTTGCCAGCTGATCAAGGCTGGCAAGCAAAGAATCATAGTCACTGCAAAGAGAGCGTTCACATGTATGGCTATTTTAACAGTGCCACAACAAGCTCTAAAGGGACTAAGAGAAAAGCTATTTTGACCTTTGTGAAGGTGCTGACCAAAAAAATAACCATCCCAGAAGACATACAACCAGCAAGAAGACAGCAAGCAGCATAACACTGCACATTTGCACTCTGCATCAAAATATCAGTGCAACTCACTGGAGTAGAATTAACTGTAGCAGAACAGCACTCGCCGTATTTGTAGCTCAGGCAACAACTGCAGCATAACATTTACTAGAGACACAATAAGCCTGAAGCAAAGCTAAAGCATTTTGCCATGCATTGATAGGGGGGGAAACACAGCAAAGCTTGGCTTGCCAGGAGGTTTTGATCAAGTATCACTGGCTGTGCTGCATAATGAGTCCAGATTTTTTAATTGTTCTCTTGCCCCAGTTTGGGCTCCTGAAGTATAAGATACAAGATGATGGAAGACTTCACAGGGCTTCCTGGCAGGCAGATTTCACTCAGCTGATAAGGTTTCCCTACAAGACATCACAGAGCTATGTTGAATTAGTTTGTATGTGGCCTGAGCTCTTCTGCAAAAGTCTTCAAGACTTAAGTAGCCAGGTGGGCTTAGATTAATACATTCTGCTTTCTCACAGCTGTACATAGCTGCTGAGACTGGAGGCAAGAATAGGACAATGAAGGCTGAAGATCTGAAACGTGGCAGGCAATGACTGCTTCTGGTGGGAATTAGAGCCAATTTGTACAGAATCCCTCTATCTGAACAGTATTTGTGCACTGTGGGTGTTAACACAATTCACAGCCATCTTCAAAGCTGCATGAAAGTCTTAGCACATAGGCACTCTTAGGAAGACTTACTCTCTTAAAGCAACTCCCATTAGTTTCTGTAGGAGACCCAAAGTGATACCATGGGAGGACATAGACCCATTAAAATTTGCAAATGAAAACCATAGCTTCCCATTAATGAAACACTTCTACAGAGAAACCCAGCAAATTTATACAAAGTTCGGTGTATTAAAGCCTGCTCAGAGATCGCAACTGAGAATAGTCACCACTTTTAAATCAATTGTAGCTTACATGAGCTAGGTGCAATTTCCAGAGCGATCATGTCAATTCTGCAGAAAACCATTGTGCGAGATAAGAATATCAATTGTATGATATCAAAGGAGAGAGAAAAAGCCAATTCCTTTTGGGTTCACATGATTGCAAGTGAAAGACAGTAGAACATCAGGGAGTCGCTTTTAACAGAAACACAGATAGCAGGTGCTTAATTAGACCCAGATCGTGTGTATCTGACTGCAAATACATAATGAATAGGTAGCACTTTCAGATGAGACAAGGCTGATAATCTGCTCTGTTTTTTCACAAAACATTTGTGTATTTAGAGAAGTGATCCTGGCCACAAATAATCACACACTGGCTGCTGCAGACCTGCCTTTGGGCCTAAAATATCTTAAAATCTACCTTCAATGACATTGTAGTTTGTACATGACAGAATGACAGAAAAAGACTTTCTGCCAGACCTAGCCACACCAGAGATGTGCAGTTTACATTTAATGAAAACAACCTATAGTAATCTTTCGAATTGCTTGCATTTATTTCCTTCCATTTGACTAAGACGAAGTACATGTCATGTTTAGGATCTATACTCGTACGTTATGGGGACAATTTTGTAGAGCTGTAATAACTGCTATAGGTTTTAAAGTTACTTGGCTTTTTGTGCCAAGATGACAGAAAAGAGAGTGAAGGGGTTGAACACAGGAAAGCTGTTGGTGTCAGTGAGAGCATATAAGTATTTCCATTTCCACACAAATGAGACACCAGTTAGGGAACACACTTGCATTACTTCTTCATCCAGTTTTTACAGAACCGACTAGCATGTCTCTGGGGATTTCTCATCAACCTCTAGCCTTCAGGAGAATAAAAAATCCAGGTTTTTATCTGTATGTTGTTCATTTGCCTATACAACTCCAAAAGAGACTATAAACAGGAGGTCTTTATGACCCAAAGAGGTTTCTGAAAATGCTGCTTCTTGATGGAGCTTACAAATATACAAATTTACTTGCATCTTTTCTATACCAGCATTTCCTCTTTCCTAGGATATTCCTCATAAATCCCTGAAATGAAGTTTTTGAAAGTATAGGGAAACACTTCA